TGTTGGCTGTGTTGTTCTTACTGTTTGTTGTCAAGTCAGAACCAATAATCCACAGCTAACCCTTCTGGAGGTTATCAGAGACAGTAAATCACATGGAAAGAAAATGTCCATCATTCTCCTATGGAGCAGTTGCTGGATTTGAAGCTTGTGTCTTTGGGATTGTAGCACAGCTTCTTACCTCTAGACCAGCAGAGCACCCATATGTCTTTGGGAAAACTATTCTTTGGATGAAAATATCATGTGCAAAAAAGTGGACAGTCGGTGAAAGATAGGAACACCCTTAATGAGATGGATTGATACAGTCACTGCCCCAATTGACTAAAGTATATTACAGATTATAAAGATGGTACTCAACTCAATGACATCTAATAATAACAGTTTACTTATTATTTAAATATACTTTATATTTTTTATTATATGTAGTGGGAAACCAGTTACATTGCCAACTCAAAGGCAGGTAGTTTGAATCCCTCAGGAGAAGGATGAGCAATTCACCTGCCTACCACCTGTCCCATGGGGTTTCCACCCTCTGAAAACCTATGGGAGAATCAGCCATCAGTTGGATCAAGCCTGCTGGCACAAAACAGTACAACATATTTAGTGAATGTGCAGTGGAATCTTTCTTTGTTTAGCTCTCCATTTTGTTGTTTTCATTGATTCTCATGATGGCTGTTTACCTACTTGTTCTGACTTTTTTCCTCTTTTCTTATGAATTTAGGATCCATGCATATTTTTAGTGGGAGTTCTTTGAGGCCTGTGTTAGAGATACAGTCTCTCAGAGAGCATCAGAATTTTAATCTCCACTGTGCCAATAAGAACAAAAACTAAATTGTCTTTCAGTTATGATTGCTCACATGAGTATATATGTATCCCTTACATATTGTGGGACTTCAGATCATAAGTTCACATGAAAGGTGGCCTGTGACTGCACTTCCCTGTACTTCCCAAGGTAATATGTCCTCACCAATTCCAGAGCCAAGGCAAAATTCCTTCAGTCTGGCCTTTCCTGATCTCCTGCTTTAAGAAAAAAACTTCACAGAAATACAGTGAGCCTAAGGATTTATATCTTGTCCCTTCAGTACAAGTAAAACCATAGTTCCAGGTCACTAGCAATCTTTCTCAGCTGGACTTATCTTTAAATAATTTCCTTTATTGTCTTAAAACCTCAACTATGCATTACCAAATGAATTATTTACACATATGTGTGTGAGTATGTGCATGTGAGCATGTGTTGGAAAAGAGAACTGAATATGTGTGAGTGTGTTTTGAAGAGAGTGTCAGCATGTATAGTATAAGATCTTCCTGGCTCCTTTTTTTTTTTTATTCTTTCGTCAGCTTCACTTTGGGTACAAGCTCTGGTGGTCTACTGAGGAAGGAGTGTGCTCCCAATTCAGTACATGCAGTTTGAATTCACTAGCTGTCTTCTGGAGAAAGACAGACAATCTCCTCCTGTGTGATTTACAGCCTCAGAAAACTCATTGTAGAGTCAGCTATACATCAGTTCTGACTTGATGACAAAGAGTTTTATTGTTTTTGGTGATGGTGGTTTTGGAGGGTTTTTTTGTTCTTTTTGTTGTTTTAGATAGGTAGTGTCAAAGAGAAGAAAATCACAGCAGTCTAGGTTTTAAATCAGTTCTACGACACTTTACCATTTTATAGTAGCCTCGTGAGTTGAAATGGAGTACCGTTTACATCTGATTAAACCTTCCATTCAGGTCCTGCTTCCAGATTAGCTGAGACTTGAGCACTTTCATTCTTGTACCTTTAAGTATAGTTTGCAGAATCTGAAGTTATAGTATGTCATTATATATACACACTGACCCATAGGGATGACTTTAGGCTAGCTGCTTATGTAAAGTTGGAACTAAGGCACAAAGATTAAGACATATGTCTAAATGTTTCTGTAATTTCTTAAATTTTAAAGGATATGTTTAATCTAGGTTGTCCTGTTTTGAATCTTCATCTTTAAAACAGCCTTTAAGAAATGTAACAAAGGACATTGGAGTTATTTTTGCAAAACCTTTTGCTCCTTTTTGAAATTGCTAACTTGGCTAGAGAGTTTTCCACCTAAATAAATACTGAAAAATACTGGCTTTTACCATTTCATTTTTTTCATCTCATCACTTTTTATACTCTCTTTCTAAATTGACCATAACCATTCTTGATAAGATGCACAGGTATAGTTAGCAATGTATTTACTTCATTGACAAAGGCATCTTTATTTCTAAATTTTAAAAGCTGGAAGCCAAAATTAAAAGAGATTTTGTGAAGAGTAAACACAAAAAAGAGAAACTGGAAATTGGATACAGGACCTGACCAAATGGTTCTGAGATGGTTACTTGGGTTTTGAAATGAAGTTGTCTTCTGCCTTGAATGAAATGGCAGCATGCACTGATTACTCACTGTCTTGGAAGAGGACATTTTCCAGATAGTACAATAATCAATGGACTCTTATATGAGGATAGTATATGTTGTTGTTGTTGTTGTTATGTGCCATCAAGTCGTTTGCGACTCATAGCGACCCTATATACAACAGCCCTAAACTCTGCTATGTCCTGTGCCAATCGCATGGCTCTGACACACCCATCCCGATTACCCCAGTTACTGAATCAATCCACCTCATAGAGGGTCTTCCCCTCCTGCGCTGTCCCTCCACCCTCCCAAGCATGATGTCCCTCTCCAAGGACCTCTCCCTCCTTACAACATGTCCAAAGTATGTCAGAC